AAAAAAAGAGAGATGTTTTAAGGAGGTGTCTCTCTTCCTCGATGGATACTCATGTGGGGCTCTCTTGCTTAAGCCTTCTATGTTTTTCAAACTTGGTAACTGTAAGAGGTGTGGACTTCTTAAAACACTGGCCGAGATCAACAGGGTCGGTAGGTTTCAGACGCAAAGCCAAGCCTGCTAAACCTGCTGGATCCAAAGCAGCGTGAACCCCAATGGCTTTCTGAAAAAGGCCCACGAGTGTCCGTCATCTTCCAGCTGGTTGTGAAGATGCTCTAGGGAGAGGCTTGAAGGTGACCCAAGGAGTCTCTGTTCCCCTGCAGAGCTCTCCAGGAGGACTGTGGGCGTGTCGCTTTCTCTCAGCCCAGCTGACCTCACAGGGTTGTTGTTGCTGGGGGGAATCAAAGAAGAGGAGACTCCGTCCTGCCCACCCTGGCTTCTCAGAGAAGAAGCAGGAGATACGGGCACCCAACAAATCAATCAAGAGCATTCGGCTGGATCAACGGAGGCACCCCGCTTACAATGCCGAGCGGTGCAAGACACGCCATCTTAAACCACTTGTTTAATCTTTCCATGCTTTGAAGCCTAAACCCGAAGGGGGTGCTGTGTGTTTCGATGAGAGATGGGCAAATCTCTGCGTCAAACCAAAGATTTTGCTAGCTTTCACCCAAACCATTTGGGCCTATATCTGGACCCAAATCTGATTGATTTGTCTATGATACGAGCTGAAATCTTACTGTTCCAACAGAAGGGGTTTGGGGTATGTGGGAAATGCCAGGGCCCAGAGGTTTCCTTGCAGTAAGACACTAAACTTCCTGAGGACGGTTTAATGAGTCTTTCCCTGCATGTTGCAAAGGGCTGGACTAGATGATCCTTGGGGTCCCTTCTAATTCCACAGTTCTATGATTCTAAGGGTGATGGGGGCAGCTAGGTAAGGTGAAAAAGGGATCCTTTCCTGTGGCTGTTGCGAGGGACAGCAGCTGAGGAGTGGAGGAAGAGGAGGGAGGAGGAAGGCGAAAGGGAAGGCAATGGGAAGATTGGAGAGGGTTGAGGAATATGGCATGCTGGGAGCTGCATTGCAATGAGGGAAGAGCACACCAGCCTTGTGATGCAGGAGAGATGAGAGGACCCACACAGCCTCGTCCTACAGAACCTATAAAATCCCCTGGAACAACCCCCAATTTTCTACGTTTTGGTTTGGCTGAACCACGGCCAACCCATGCTGGCTCGGCAGATCTTCTGGAATGCAGGGGTTTGTCGGCAGGCTGAAAGCCAAACTTCTTTGGGGTTTTGCACCCCCCCCCCCCCCTTGGATGAAACAAGACCCTGAAACTTAGCTAGAAACTGGAGACCAGAGACGCTGGGTTCACGTTCAAATGCTTCCCACCAGCAGGGCCAACCCAGGCCTCTCGCAGACGCTCGTCCCTCCGGCCTCTTGCAGGAATGCGTGCCCCACAAAGGGGGACCACCTTCGCATTCGGCAGACCCACAAGATGAACTTACCACCAGCTGCGGGACGGGGAGCGGTCTTCCCTCCTTGCTTAGGGAGACATAGGTGAAGAACGCACTGACCGCGCGGTACTGCTCCTGGGGCTCCCCCACAAAACGGTCGGCATCGACGAAGACTTCGATTTCCATGGACTTGTTGCTCGTGAAGGTCATGCGGCCGGAAATGGTAATCACGCTCCCTGCGGGACAGAGGGGACCTTGTGAGCAAGACCACGCTCCTGGGGACGAGACCAGCTTTCACGAAGGCCCAAAGAGTTGGAGCGTTGGGGGGGGGGGCGGTTTCAGAACGGCGACAGTCGCTCCAGATTTCGGGGAACGGCAAGCAAAGGGGCCACGCCGAAAGACGAGGATTATAAACTTGCTTCTGCGGTGGATGCAAAACCAGCAGTCCACTTTTGCGAAGCATCTGCCCTCGTGGGAGAACCACCAAGATCGGGGCTGTGGAGCCGCTCTTGGAAACCTCCCTGGCCGCTGGTCGAAAACCTGATTTCCCTTTTTTGTTTCATGGCGTCAGAAAAGATCCTTTGAATTGAAAACGTCAGCGGGAAAAGATATAAAAGCCCCAGCCTCCCCCCTCCCCCACAGACATTGTCACAAGGCATCTGTTTCCAGAAGGGTTATGGAGAGGTTGGAGAAGGTTCAGAAGAGGACCAAAAGGATGAGAAGGGACTTGAGGAAGGTGGGACGTTCCTCAAGGAACGTGACTTGTCCTCAGAGGAACTTGAGATGTTCAATCTGAAGAAAGGCCCAATGGCTACATTCAGGTAGGCCAAGGGAAGCTATGGCCACGGTACAAACTCACCACATCTTTCCCACAGCCACAGCAACCAGGATCCGAAATAACGGAAACACCTTGTGCCTTCCTAGATTTTGCTGAAGTAGCAGGAGGAAATTCTCAGGGATCAGATCTGTCCAAGTGTGGAAGAGCCTACCTAGGGAGGTGGGGGGTTTCTCCATTTCTGGAGGCTTTTAAGAAGAGGCTGGACAGCCCCTTCTCATGGAGGGTTGAACACTGCAGAGGGGTGGACTAGATGACCATTGTGCTCCCGTCCAATTCGCCATTCTCTGATTCCAAAGGCTGCAGTTGTCTTTCCATGCAACTCTACCCTTAGAAAGCCAGCCACCCGGCGCTCACGTTTCGGAACAAAGCTAGGTGCCACCGCCCGTGAAGTTCTCCACCCCTTTTGCAGGCAGAGACACTGGGTGGGTCTTTTCTCTGAATCTCCCTAGGGGAAGGGAAATTCCTCAGCTAATTTCTCAAGGGCCACCCCGACTTTCAATTCTTCCCTGGGAATTGAACGAAAGCTTGGAAAGCCCGGGAGACCCCCGATTAGCTGGAGAGGGACGAACGAAAGGCCAGACTTTTGCACACCTCCCCTTGACGCTCAACAGCTGCAAAGACGTTGCCCTTCAAGCAGGAATATTTCCTTCCCCAGTCCAAGAATTTCTACCGCAAGTCTGGCTCATCCAATTGGACAAGAACAGGCCAGGAAAAAAAATAACGCAGATGTTTCTGCCTGGCACAATTTCAGAAAAAGGTCTGTGATAAGCCGCAGATCCAGTGGTCTACCTGGTGTCATAGGAACTTGTATTCCCATTGGCCAGGCTGGTTGACCTACTGCTCAAATCCAGGACACACCACACTTACACACACACACACGTGCGTGCGCGCACACACCCTGACAATTTGGAACAGTCTGGCCTCAGTATAATTTTCACATTCGCTCCGATGTAGATGGGATTATCCCACTCTTTTCCGGCTAACGGGTTCCATCTGCTCAATTTTGGGGAACGATGAGCCGAACCGGAATCTGCAATGACCCTTTTGAAGCCAAAAACAGAGCAGGAGGAGTCAGGAAAGCCAGATGTTTCTCCCACATCTCCCCAATGGAGTACGAACACCTTCGACGTTAAGGAGAGCAACGGGTTTGTGGGTGTTATTATCTATGTTTTGAGCCATATGTTTTGTGATGGGAAGGAAAGGGAATGGGGCACTGAGTTCAGAAAGCAGACAAAGGAATCTCAGAATAAAGAGGTGCCCGTTTTTCAGCAACTGGGTGGGAAGGAAAAATCCCTAAAGCTGCTGTGCTTCAACTGTGAAGAGGGATGACTGGGCATCAGACGTCAGCGAGTCCCACCCGGAGAGATCTAACCCAAATTAAAACTCTGGCGTTCGACGGGCTGATTTCACACACAACCCCTCACCCTCCCCAAAATGTTAAGCCAGGGTAACATCTAAGCAAGCTGAACAAATGCAGGGGCTCGGTCTTTAATTGACCTAATGAAACACGTTTTGTGAACCCAGACCAAGCAGCAGATTAATCCCTTGGCAGTTTGGACTACTTTATTTCCCCCCTAGGCTTAATCCCAAAGGAAAATTCAGAGTACTCCATCTGGACTCTTTTCCCCATGAAAAGCTCACTTTATGGAATAGCCAGTATATTCATTCTTCTTGTCATAAATTTACTTTGGAACAACTCGGTTCTGATCAAGCGGTTTCTAAAACTTTTGCAGAACTTAAAACAGACCGGGGTGGACCACCTAGCATTTGGTTCACGAATTTAAAGGCCAATTTATTCACTCCAGATGCTGTTGCTGCTTCTGAAATTCCAGATTGGTTAAACATTTTGGAAGAATCCACCGAGGCTCCTAAACCAGCAAGAAGCTGAACAAAATTGGTGTCCAATATGTCAATTTTGCAACAAATAACTTGAAAAACTCCTGCCTTGGAAAACCACAGACAAAGTTTTCCTGTTGGATTAAGGATCAAGAAAGGAGACTTTTCAGCAAATTGGGGTTTTTTGGATATAATTTCCAACCCATCAGTTGTATCATTGGAACCAAGATCCCTGCCCAAATCATGGTATATTGCTATTATTTTGGTAGGATTACCAAGATGACATTGTTCAGTTTCCTAATTAATAATAATCAGCTGACAAATGTCAAATGTGGGTGAATCCTTATCCTTCTTTAAACTTTGACCCAACTGGAGTCTGTCTGTCACACTTTTATTTAATTTGCCAACATCTTCAAAAGGGTAGGGTTGGGGGGAGAAAAAAGGTGAGTTAGGGGAGGCATTTCTCCCGAAAAGTCTGCATGAAGTATTAAAACATGCATCTTTTGAGTGTTTATTTCTAAGGGGGAGAGAATGCACCACCCCAAATGGTCACTTTCATGCCAATTTTTGCAAATTTAGGGCTGCCGCCAGCTGCATCATAGCTTAAACCTTCCTTAAGCGTATAATGTATTATTCAGTGGGTCAGAATGACGGGCTTTCGTTTCCTTTGTGTTATAATCAGTTTGACCCCTTAGGGTGGTTATTAGTAATGTCCTTCGCCCGTTGGGTCTCTCAATGCCCCTTCATGATCCGTCTCAGTGGGCATTCTGGCATTCGGAGAAGGGCGCTGGCTTTCTAAACACGGCCATTCAGGACTGCCCAGCACCATTCTTTAAAATGTTTACTCAGCATCGTCTGTCGGCTAATAGACATTGATCAATTTGGTATTCTCGCCTACCGGACCCAAAGCGCCGAGCTGCAATTTGCTGGTTGTGGTGCGCGGCTGGCCATTTTGTAGGATTAAACGTTCCCGTTAGCGGATCTCCCCCTGGGGAGACACCCCTTTGACTGGCTGCCTTTTCCAACTGGGGGGGCCAAGTGTTCTCGACTAAGAGGGAGACAAAGATGGAGAGGAGCCATCTGTGCGCCCAACGGCACCACCACGGTATAAATTTAGACAGGAGGCGGCAAACTCCCGCCCCCCCCGATCCGTGGTATTTTAAAGCCAGCTGTAAAAGCTGTCCACCCCGGTGATTTGCAGCTGGTGAGCTGTCACCAGCAATTACGGCTTCCCGCGCGCCCCCCCCCCCCCGGGGTGTGGGTGTGGGCGCGAGACAGCCAGAGCCCCGGGAGAGAAGGAGGAAAACCTCTGGGCCACCAAGGTTGACAAAATGTGGGGCTCTGGGAGATGGGAAGAGGGTGGCTGGAAGATGCCGCAACGGTGGATCATCCTCGTCGTGGGCCTGATGACTGGCTAAGAGAGGCCGGGGGCCTGAAAGTGCAGGGCAGAGATTTCAAGGCCAAAGCAAGAGAGGAGAGGGGAAGAAAGAGAGGGGTAGGTGAGGCTGGTCCCAAGGTAGGTGAAAGTAGGTGAGGCCCCAAACTGCAGCTTCATGCTGTGATTGTGAGATTTCAAAGACAGGATGACAGAAACTGGCAACAGGGCCACTGAGGATCGACGTTCAGGCCTCCTTCCTTTACAGTGTATTTCAAGCATTCGACTCCCACCTCAGCCTCAAAGCATAAGAAGAACCCATCAGATCAGGCTGCGCAGCCCAAGCCAGTCTCTACCTGAGGATGAATTTAGTCCACTGGTAGCTTGACTAGAAGCCATCTGGTCTCAGTCCTCAAGACGCTGGGCCTTTCTGGTCCAAAGGACACCCTGTGAAATTTCTCTGCTTCAAATCTGTAAGCTGCTTCGATGGTCTTCAGCCCACTTCCTCCTGTGCCTTTTCATGAAGATTCAACTCTTTTTTTCTTCCCAGTGGATGAAGGCAAATCCAGCCGTGGTCATTTCCAACCTTTAGGCTGCATCGCCTTCTCTCTGTTTTGGACACGCTGATCTTCAGATATTTGCCCACCAGCTCTTTCTGCTCCTCTTCCCGGCTGATCAGATGCCAGCTTGGATTTTCTTCAACTAGGCAAGGTTGCTCAAAACAGTTAATTTTCTTCTGATCGCTGACTGTGGTTCTTTGGTTGAATCTGGCCTCCCGAAAATTCTATTTTTAATTGATTACAGTGGGCCTAAAGGTAAGAACCGTATGGAAGGCGGGTGGTCTGGTTGGTGGAGTAAATATTCATGAAAAGAAATTACATGATCTGCAAGAGGTTATGAAGAGGCAACATAGGTGCCAATGTGCCCCCAGATATCTCTTGAGCCCTCTGACCCGTACCATTTTTTTTAAAACGTGGGCCTGGTTCCAAAGCAGCAGCTTAACCATGATGATTATCCATTTCCAAGAAGACATCTGAGCTCCACAGGCTTTCTTACAGAATCAAAACAGTGGTGAACGAAGCTCATAGCTTAGGTTGGAAGGGTGCCCGTCTGCCTTAGCAAAAACAAGAGAAAACAGGAGTGGGGGGTGGCTAGAAGAGGAAGCGCAGAGCATCCTGTCAACCATGTCATTGAGTAAACCTACGGATTCCTTATCATCTCTTCCCTTGAGACAGACATGAAGCAAATGCCCAGTTGGAGCCATTTGACAAAGCACGACAAGATACTTTCCGAAGTCCACACATGCCCCCAGCCCCAAAATGTTACTTATCAGTGCTCCTAGGGTTTTATTAAATAGGACCATCAATGGAGATCATTGGCCCATTGGATTTAGATGGACCAGAGGATCAGCCTGGATAAACCCTGGGAAGGAACAGAAACTCAACTGCACAGAATCTGCACAGAGGCAGTTCCATATTCAGGAAAGGACCATAGAGAACAAGCCTACATATGACTCTGTTCTCTTCAGGGGCCCTGGAGACCCAAACCAGTGTAAATCATCATGGAAGAGCCCCAAACCAACAGTCTGAATGAGGACAATGATGGCAGCGCTGTTATTTGCTTTAGAGCAATGTTTTTCAACCTTGGCCACTTTAAGATGTGGGGACTTCAACTCCTAGAATTCCCCAGCCAGCCCTG